TGTCATGTTCTCTTTCAGGATGTTTCGATGTTGTGAGATTATTTTCAGGAGCGTGTGTGTCTGTCTGGTAGATCACGGTATTTGCAATAGGCTTCTAGATATATAGTGATGCCAACTCTTTCTGTTTTAGACTATAATTGACTTCACTATCAAAAAACAAAAAAACAAAAGAAATCAAAAGTTGATCATGATCCAATCACATTTAATATTTTGATTACACTAACATAAATAAAGCAAAAAAAAATCCATTCAAAAGAGAAAAAAAAGCAATCCAAATTACGTATTATATCTCACAATATGTGACTTCATCTAGATAAGCGCATATAATACTCTATCTAGAAATATGCAAATAGAGTCTCATACAACTCTTTTAGAACTAAAAATGCAATGTTCAATATAGCTCTCCCAAAACTAAAAAATACAGGAAATTAGCCTAAAAACGAATAATCTTAGTAAACATTAAGCTAATTAACTCTAAATAGTTAAATAGTTCCAATTTCTTTGCAATGCGAATCACAAATGAAGTAATAAGATTTCTTTTCAACTCTTGGACACAGTTAGGCTCTTCTCTATGGCCTTCCTTTTCTGAATTCTTCTTGCTCTTGATTCTCCAACTTCTTTAATGTTCCCAAGATCTAAACGTACGTTGTGAAAATTCTTCTCTTTTGATTTCTTATTAACTAGAAATTGCTCCTCCCGTAATGCAAGGATTAGAATATTTCATTAAATTTTAAATTTTAATAAATTGTATTATCTAAGTTAGTTCAAAATTCACTTCTTGTGGGAGCATGATTTTTTTTATTCGCTTAAATGTAATTTGAATTAGAGATGTGAAATTTAGGGAAAACATAGGAAAATTTAAAATTAATTAATTATTTCTCCATTTAAGCCTACTATTTAATTACAATGCCCCCCATTTAATTCAATATATTCAAATCCCTGTTAAGATATTATTCAAATTTAAAATTAATTATTAATTTCTTCACGTGAGCCTCCAATTGAAATCCTATTTAATAATGATGCTCCTTATTTAATTTAATATACCCAAATCCCAATCTAAATACGATTCAAATTCTATTTAATAATGATGCTACTCATTTAATTCAATATTCTCGAATCTCAATAAAAATATTATTCAAATTTCATCAATTAGTGATGCATGACCAGACATCAATTTCAATATCCTCATTTCATCTATCCCCACTTTATACTCTTGTTCTTTTAAAACCGAATATTTACCACTATATAGCATTGTTGATTTTTGTAGTAGTATGATAAAAAATACCCGCTTACAAAATTTTAACAATAATGGTTAAATTAAATTAAAAAACTGTGTGTTAGGAAATTGTGGGGAAATAATTATGAGGGAATCACTATAGAATCCTAAACAAGAGAAAAATAACTGTTAAAAAGTCACTTAAAAACTTCAAATTAATAAGAAGTCCCAAAGTACCTGAGTGTAAAAAGATTCTATAAGTAAAATTAACAAGTTGTCCTTAGATTAAAAAAAACAAGAAGTGAAGGATTCAGCCTCTCTCCCTCTCCTTCTGTTGTAAGGCCTTCCTTTTCCTCACCATATGTCGTCGCCACTCTTTTGCCACCACCTTAGCAGCAAAGAATTCACATATAACTGAGAGTACTTGGATCAACAAATTAAGGTGTAGAGTATTGATAATTGAGGATGCTAGAGTTGACAACTCACTTTGTAGTAGATTATAGTACCTTATAACTAAAATGTATTATATGAGCATTTATAATTTGAAATCACATAAGATCATAACCTTGCAACATATTTTTAGCAGCAGGAAATTGGGAAGTGAAAGTCTCTGTATTAACAAGTTAATGTGTCATCATTAACAAGTTAACATGCCATCATTATATTACATTAACTGATTAACTCGTGATAGTCTAACAAGAATCATTAAGTGAATGTAAAATTATTGAATACTAAACTAACCATATTAACAATTATCGTAGTATGTATTAACAACTAATCTAATTAGTAAGGATAGCTTGATAATTTTATAATTAGATTTTCTTCCTATCAGATTCCACGAGATTTGAGATTAATTTAAAGATTTAGAGGTACTTTACAATAGTAATTTCTCTTCCTTGGGTCTAGTGCAATTTTCCCTATAATTAATTTATTTGTCATTAATCATGTGGGAAAAAGTCATACTGTGCGCAGGGAAAATAGAATAGGAAAGGGGCAAGTGTTTTCAGCTTCTATGTGCAATCTTTTTTATGACAATTAGAATTTTTAGTTTTTGTTATAAAACTAAAAAAAAGAATAGAGAAAAAGATTAAGGAATTGGAGAAAAGAGAAGATAAGGATATTTCTCATTCAATTCTAGACCTCCTATTTATAGACACAATTTTACAATTTTAACAAAATCTGTGGATAACATAATAATATGAGATAATTATAAAATCATAAAAATAATATAATACATTAGAGATAATATGAGATATTATTATGTTCATAATAGTTTTGAAAATAAAAGGAATTTTTAAGGTATTTCATAGGGGCTTTTTTAATTCATGCAGTCAACTAATGGTAAGTTCGAGACGTTGATATTGACGCGAAGATATTGTGTGAAATTTCAAAGTTATTTGGACGATTAAATACCAATCACCAATGAGTTTAATTTCACATTAATCATTTTCTTTTGAGTAAAATGCACTAACTATTCCTCTAGTTTATCTAAATTACTGAAACCTTCTCTCTATTTTAAAAATATATGTAAACTTCTCTTGAAATTAAAATGTATGCTACTAAAACCTCCCCTATACATTTGATATTTCATCTTCATCCATCCAACCATTAGTTAACCATTAAATTTGACTTTTAAACTTTTGTTTTGACCAAAATACCCCTTCTTAATATAAAAGTTATTTAAACATTTATATTTGTAAAAAATAATTTTGATACAAGAAAAAAATTTTAATACACGTATTTTCAAAATTTTTAATATGTTATAAAATTTATTAATTTTGATTATATTATAGAATTTTATAATTTTAATTTTTCATGACATATATTGAAATTTACTTATTTAGATTTCTTTTAAATGGCTGGTATTTTCAATTTGGGAGATTATATAAATCAATTAAATTTATGATTTAAAATTCTTATAGGATAATTTTTCTCCAAATATTTATAACTTATTTAGTCAATTATATATTTATTTAAAGAATCAATCAAATTTTCATTCAAGTTTTTTTATGTCTTCATTTAAATTACTTAATTTTCTGTTCCGTTATGATAAAAAATTAAACAAATAATTATTTTTAAAAATAAAAATAAAATTAAGGTAAAGGAAAAAAAATCTTAAATTGTTCAACATAGTTTTAGCCAAAATTTAGAGATTTAGTATCATAAAGAGTAAATTAATAAATAAGAAGTATTTTAACATAAATTTCAATTAATAAACATCTTTTTAAAATATTCTTAACATAATTAACGGTTTGTGAAAATAAAGGAAAGGCGCGTGTAATTAGTACATGAACTCTTTTCTTTTCAATCAATTTTCTGATGTTCCATTTTGGTGTGTTGCAACGGCCTTATTTTGAATATAAAATTTATTTTATCAATATCATCTTATAAGGCCGTCATTTTGTGATAACAAGATTTTTTTTTATTAAATAAAGAACATCGTTCATTATCCATGTTTTTTTTTTGTTATGAAATTCAATTTCCATCTTCTGAAATATTGGTAATTTTTTTTTTACTAGATAAAATATTGTTTTGATTTTTTTAAGCCCAAAATATAAAAAACTCCTCTCAACTTTGCCCCTCTTATATATAACCTTCCTCATCTTTAAAAGTTCAACTTTCATAACTTGAAATTTAACCCCTACCGTTAAAGTAGCCATTAAATCTAACGGAATAGATGCCATGTCAGATTGTTTAAAATTATTTATCAGATGACATGTAATCTTTATTACTTTGTTAATTTATCCTAACTCAAAAATCATAATTATATTAAATGGTATTTTTGTGATTCTACAATAATAATCCCTAATTCCTAGTCTCATTCACCTAATCTTCCTCTTTCAGTCCCCCCCAATGCTCAGGTCCTTCATGTTTGCAATATCTTCTAATTAATCATCTTCTCCCTTCTAAAAATCATCGTCATCACATCCTTCTTTTAAATCTAGAATCTTTTTTGTGAAATTGTTTTTTTAAATGGAGACGAAGCCACCCACCGAAGATTCAAAGATGGATCGCGCTCAGTTGTTGTTCAATAGTCATCGCTCACTATCTTTCTTCTCTGCCTATCTCTTGATTGTAGTCGGTGAATTTTGGTGTGTTGAAAATTTTGTTGGGGGCAGTGAGACAAAGATAATGGAGAAAATCATTTACACTTCGTCATTTTTTTAGGACAATCAATTGATGGAATTGTTACATTGCTAATGAGAACCAAGGGAGAAGAGTTATATTCTGAAGACGATTTTTAGAATGGAGAAGAATAAAACGCTGCAAGTTGGCAGGATTAGAGGAGACTGAGAATTGGGGATTACTATTAGTAGAATTACAAAAATACTTTTAAGTGTAATTGTGAATTTTAAGTTGGAATAAATTAACAAAATAATAAAAATTACATATCATCTATCAAGTAATTTTAAATAATCTGAAATGGCATCCATTCCGTTAAATTTAACATCCACTTTAATAGTAAGAGGTTAAAATGTGAGTTTTAAAAGTTGAGGATGTTATTTTTAAACTTTCAAAGATGAAGGAGGTTATGTGTAAGAGGGTTAAAGTTAAAGGGAGTGATTTCTATTTTGGCTTTTTTTAAAAAAATTGTTAATGTTTGCCTTTGGCATATCGGAAACAAACAAATCATAAGAAGTCGCGGCATGATCTGTTAAGATTCTTTGTCATGATTGTATTAACTTTCTGACCGGAGTTTTAGTTTCGCCCCGTCCTGAGGAAAGCTCGAAGGCAAAAAGGAATACTCTAGGAGCAGGAGGTTAGGGTTGAAGTGCTCTCCATCATGCGGTTAAATCTCCTTCATCTGAGGAACCGGCTTTTCATCACTCCATGGCTAGAAAGGAGTGTCCTTTCCTTCTCCTTCTGCCCATTTTCGGCGAACCAAACGGCTTCTTACGGCAGCAGAAGCAAAGCAGGTGGGACGAATAAAAAACGTCCCACCGTATTCCACAAATCGATGATGTTCGGAAACCATCTGCTTGTGGACGGAGAAATGGACGAAAACAGGGTGCTTTCACCCTTGTCCTTCCAAGTGGTGCTCAGCCTCCTGGCCGCTGGCTCCGGCGGCTATACCCGCCGTCAGCTTCTCACCTTCTTCGACGCCGATTCCGTCGATCAGCTCAATCACTTCGCCTCCCGAATTTCCGAGGACGTCATGGCCGATGGTGATCCCGCCGTCGGCCCTCGTATGCGTTGCTCCAATGGCTTGTGGCTTGACCAATCCCTTACTTTGAAGCCCTCTTTTAAACAGATTCTAGACTCTGATTATAGAGCCGCTCTGAACCCGGTGGACTTTCAGACCAAGGTAATGTTCCGTCATTTTTTAACTCAAAATCACAATATCTTTAATTAAATGAAATTAAAATTTTATATTACTCATAGCATCCTCAGGTTCTATTCCATGATGATATTGACTTGTTGACTCCCTGCCATATGTCAACTTCCTTGAGTTTCATGCCTAAAAGAAATCATCTTTAATTCTTATATTAATTGATGCAGATATGTGCAGCCCGTTTATATTCTTCTTAAATGTATAATCAGCCTTTTTAATTTGTAAAAATTAGCATGAGTTCCCTGTTTCTTGCCGCAAGGCTTGAGGTGCTTGTTAGCTCGATTCACGAGTTTGAGAGAATACAAGGATTTCATGTGTCTCTTGGAGTATATTTTTTATTTTCTTATATATCCAGGATAAACAAGGAAATTAAGGTAATCAGGAACGACAACTTGTTCGCTTGAAGTGCTTCTGAAATGGCTATAATTTCTGCAGGCTCCTAATGTGAGGCAGCAAATTAATTCCTGGGTGGAAAATGAGACAAATGGCCTGGTTAAAGACCTTATCCGTGAGGGGTCTCTCAACAACTCAGTAAAACTCGTCTTTACAAATGCATTATACTTCAAAGGAGCATGGGATGAGGATGAAAGTCCACCCCTTCCAAGCACAGAGGATCGACGGAACGAAAACTTCACGAGGGTTCCCTTCATGATTGGGAAGAGGAGAGAATTTGGTAGATGGTACGACGGTTTTGAAAGGTTCTGTCAGGTACATAAAAAGCAAAGTGAAGATAGGCGCTGTTTCAGCATGGCTTTCTGTTATCCATTGACACACACTGGTGATGGGTGTATAGCCCATGTGCTGAAACCGTAATGGATGTACGTGACCGCTCCACCCCCAAAATTTAGCTGTTCTTCCGAGGTGGAAGTTCTAGTATGCTGAGGGGACTACGGGTAACATTGCCATTCTCCGGAGGAAGGTGGAAAGATGTTAAATTCTTTTACTGGTCCAAAGTTATATGTTTTCAGCATATTGCAGAAGTCGTTCATGGAAACAAATGAACAAGGGACTGAAGCTGCTACAGCCACCACCGCAATATTAATGTCTGGGTGTCCTGCATGTTTGCCCCATGTACCTAAATGAAGTTTATAGACCGCATCCCATTCCTCCTTTATGCTGGAAAGATGAGTATGGAGGTATTCTCATGGCTAAAATAGATTTTTTCATTATGCAGGTGGTCAATCCTCTTCCAATATAGTGTTCCTATTATGTGTCAGCATTATGAGTTGTAATTTAATGTTTGACTCTCTTTAGTACTTTTTTTTTTTTAATCGCACACTCTTATTCGATAATTTAGATTTTGACTCTCCTTTGATACTTTATAAACTTCAAAATTTGGGAAGGGATGTGGGTTTATCTTAACCATTAAAATATGTTTTCTAATTTTGCTCTTAGTTATTGCTTCTCTCTCCTTTGCATATTTTTCCTATCACAATTCGTCAATTCCCCACATATCTCTTTCATTATTTTTCTCATTTATTGTAAGAACATATTTCAAAACAAAAGTATATTTTTTAACTTATATATTATATTTAACTAATTTTAACTAATTATTCGATCTTTATGAATTAGTTATTTGAAATTTTATAATAAATATCAAAATAGTATTTACAATAAGGAATAAACCAAATGACTCATTTTAGGTGAATGTGGAGCGCTTAAAATAAGCAGCACCAAACAAGCACAATATCAATGTGTTAATCATCAATATCATCATCAATTCATTCAATATTAATATACTATGAATACCTCTTCCACCTAGCTAATACAAAGCAGCTTATCCTTAGTTTAAGACA